GAGAGAGAGGGGAGGGAAAGATTTAGGTACTGAAAAACAGGCTCTATTTTATATTTTCAGGTAACATTGATAACCCTGAATGGCAGTTGTCGTATTAGAAAGTGCAAGTTAGATAGACGGTATACTGAGCTAATAAAAGTGGTAAGTGGGGAGGGGGAAGGGGCTTTTACCCTGAATCCCAATACCTGGTTAACAAAAAAATAGAGAAAAACAAGGCTTTTCATTTGTAACATGAATATAACACAACCACTAACCTTCCGCGGCATCAATGTAGTCCTCATCCTCAGGCTCAACAACATCATCTACAGGATAGGTAGGTCGGTTTGTTACTAAAGCTTTACCTTTCTTTCCTATAAAATAAAATGATACAACAAGAAAATCTCAATAAAGATTTGTAGAATGCGTTAAGAAAACTACAAATCATCACAAATAAAATATCAAAAGAGCCACCCGTTAGAGACGCCAAACGCGGCAAAACGCGTGCGATTCAATTAAAGGCATTTGCTTCCAAAGCCAATGACGCACATTATCACAGCATGAAATTATAAATTTACGAATCTGTAAAGATGCCGTGAAGCGTTAAGATCCTCTTTACGCGTCTTTACGAACTTCTTTACACTTTCGTAAAGAATGTCTATACGCATTGAATACGTTAGCACGTAAAGATCACGGAGAGACTAAAAACGCTATCTTTACGTGCCTTATAAAAAGTCGTATAGAGACTATTTACGATATTTTACAGCGACTGTACTATTATTATTACTATTAAAGACGTGTGTTAAAAGCGAAACTGGTCAAAATACCACGGTAATTCTACGGAAGATGGATGAGCAATAATTATTTCACTTCTTTGAGTATTTCTCCAAATAGAAAGTGCTTAATTATATCCATCTTGATCCTTATCCTTTTCGAACATTCAATATCCTTTACGCAGTCTTTACGCTTTCTCTGCATTTACGTATCTTTACGGAACGCGGAATTTGTCCGTAAAGAAGAGGCTTTATATTTACGTTCTTTACGCAAGAGTTAAAGATGCGTAAATTTGCGATTTCATGCTGTGATTGTAACAACACAAAACTGCATGAATTCAGGAGTGCATCCGACGCCGCTTTTATTATCTTATATTATCATAGTTGTACCCTTCCAATCAAAATGGCGCCGAAGCCACGAGTACTCTCACACTAAATTGCACATGAAATATTTGCTACAGTGTATTGCGTCTAAAATTAATGGAACTCACTTTGCCTCGCAGTTCTCATCTTTTCGATGAACGATCTTCCAGTGGAGACTTTGTCCTCAATTGCTTCACACAAAGCTTTAAGTAAGGGGACTACTACTTTCCCTTCATTTTCCAAATCTGCAAAGCAAGTATTTCATTTTGTATCTATCCAGACGCAGTATGTTATCAATTACAAATGAAACCGCCCATAAGCAGCTCACAGTTTCCTCTTCCTCTCCCCCATTCCGCCCTTTCTCCACTTAATCCAGGCTTTCAAAACAATTGTCTCACTCACACTTAAGTAAAATAAAATCATATCCTCATCTCACCTGAAAAATGTAACTCCTCCTCTTTCTCTCTATGTTTTATATCTTTACACACTGCAATCAAAAGAATAGTGAAACTTTTCAAACAGCTGTGGTACTGGTCCTAGGGATGAGGTACTTAACAAAAATTTCCCTGCAGTGAAGGATATCATTTTCTTACAGCTAGCAGCAGAGGCCATTTTTCTATCAATAGAACGTAAGCTTAGTCGAGAGAGCATAAGCTCGTGTTTTCTTAATCATGAGCCAACCTAATAACTCAGATTGACTGCATGAACGTTCAACTTCAGAATCAGTCAGGAACTGCAGTTTTAATTTGGAACAACTAAGCTGTTCTTTCCGTCTGCCAGGACCTGTAATTTCGACTTTTGAACAGCCGCATTTTCACGTCATTGATTTAGTCAGCGAAATAATCATGCGACGATCAATTATCGCATAAAGTATAAAAACACCCTTTTTTAAACCACTGAAAATCGTTAGGTTGCGTCGTTCCAAAGTGAAATTCAGTTCGGCTTACAAAAAACGAACCTACCAGGAGACTTTCGAGTACTGTTGCATATTGCACTACTGGGATCGGCAATTTCGAACGTCAACAAAGATTACAACATCGATGAAAATAGAAATAACACGTGATGTTGAGCTTATTGCTCAACAAGTGTCAATCAAGTGTTATTTAGCTATTTTCACCGATGTTGTAATCTTTGGTGAGTTCGAAGGGGGTTTTTCTGAATAATTAACTTATCGGTGATGTGCCAATATCGATATCAAAAACATGCTTTTTACCGTTCAGCCAATAATTACGTTTGTGGTTGTAAAAAAAAAATAACATCTTCTGAATAATAGTTCTTTGCTATTCTTACATCTTTCATGATTTAAAACGCTGTCCTTACGCGTTGGAAATGAAAAAACAAATTTAAAAAATTAACTATGTAATTAATTAAAAATAACAAAGTTGGACATGAACGTGACTTGAAATGACAAAAGCGGGTGTCAATGTCTTAGTCATTTATTCCCACTTTTGATTTCCATTTGACTGAAGTTGGCCTCTATACCAAAAAAACTTCTCTCAGAACTGTCATCCCTTTCGCACTGAAAAATAGTTATCTTCTTGGATATCCAATTACAAAATTCATTATTTCATTCAGAGTTTGTTGACGTTCTAAAATGCAACCATTGCCCGTGCGTAAATATGGAACAACACATGTACCTGTCGTTACTTATGTATATTGGTCAACAGACTGATGTTAATTTTGTTGTGCGCTAAAGATAGGCATTTATGACCTATAATTAATCTGCATTCAGAAGAGAATTAGAAGGAAAAATTTAGAAAACAGAGAGCTGGATAAAATGATATAGAGCAAGACCCCAAAATATCGTGATTGTTGAAGATAACAACAAAAAATAACAAGAATCATGTAAGTCGAGCATTACAAATTGCCCATGCGTGACGTCACTATTTCGAAGTAAAATTATTCATTGCAAAGGTAAGGGAATCATGAATTTCGGGACCAAAATATCTCACCAAATGATAAACGTTCAAAATCGGCCTGCAATCACAAATCTTCTACGTACCACAACATTTTATAGATCCGTGGAGATGCTCATACAAAGGGGAATGTTTTGACTGCAGGGCATGCATCAAATACCAATACGTGTGAGGGTCTTTTTGCTCCACAACAGCGAGTAGCTCCGTCACTTTTCTCTCCATCGTTGTAAACAGGTTACTGTTGAAAATTCTTTCGTGATCTTGCGTGTCGAACTTGTGATGCGCCCTCATAAATCGCACGATATAGAACAATTGATCTTCGTTTCGAATCATCTCTGGGAAACGAATCAAAAACTCGTCCAGGCCTTCTCGAGAAATTTGAAGGTATTTTTCGATGCGTTTCGACGCTCCTGGACTAAACTGGTTTTCGTCGTGGAGGAATCTTTCACAATCCCCCAGGTTGAAATGATTCGGCATGGCTGAACACGATTGTCTTCACTTCAGTGCTCTACAGTTGTGCTGTCTGCTGCGCAACGACTTTTGCTAGGAAAAAATGCCCAAAGAATTACTCTTAAATGACATAACTTCCGCAATATCAAAATAGGAAATCTACGAAACACGTAGTCGTGGGAACGGCCGCTTCTGATTGGTCAGATGTTGCCAAAACAGGTCAAAACAATTGAGCTTAAGCTAAATCTTGCTTCTCTTTATTCTTTACAGGAATTGCCGATGGCGGATTACTTCTGCTGCTGAAAGCCAAGCAGTTGTGCAGAGATGAACAGTTCAAAGCTTCGCCGGGTTGTTGTCAGAAGTGGAAAAGGTGCCATTCCATCAGCCTTTGCACCAAGACAACACTTGCGGAGCGACTTCCACAAGATCTGGAGGAGAAGACTATCCAACTCAAATGGTTCGTGATTGCCGCTCGCATGGATGAAACTGTACAATTCGAGTCTTTATCGAACAGAACCATTTACCTCTAAAAAAAAAGTAGCCTTTGGATAAGTGTCGCAACAAACCGTGTAAAGACAACATCCGGAGACAGAATCTTTCCTGGATGATGACTGACTTCCCTTCCTTCCAGAGGAGATGATGAAGAAATCATTTAAAACATGCAGGATTTCGAACGCGCTCGACTGCACAGAAAATGACAACATCTATACCTATGAAATGCCTAAACTAACCGACGATGAGATGGCCTGGGACGACAAGTTTGAGACGGATAGCAAAGAAGAAGGGGAATAAACACTTCATTCTTGAAGTTATCACTAAACAATACGGCTGCTTTAGGAGTCACCACTTAAATACAAGTCATTTATCAACAATGATTTAGCGTAAAACTAGCAATTTGTGTTCGTTGATGATCGCTCGGCTAATAGCCGAATAAACATTCGATTTACGATATTTGTGGGTAATTCAGTTATCATATAAGATATGGCAGTCTCCTAACATTTATTCCGAGACTGCGGCTTTGTTTTAGAATAGCATGAGGTTATAGGGAAATCAATTCAAATTAGCGGCGAACAATTGCTCTAACCTTTAAAAGAGAATCATGATATCAGACGACTCAACAAAAATGATCAACTATACAGGAATAAGAAAACAGTCTATATCAGTTTTATTCGTAGCGTTCTATACAAGAGATGCATGCATGGTGATGGAATTTTAAGCTATCTAATCAACAAGAAACATGGCTTGAGTAATGATTGTGACAATCAATCGTAAAATGTTAAAAACTGTTGGCATTAAGTGGTGATTCGTGTTTGATTTAAGGTATTGACTTTGGTAATAAGCAATTAACGTGGTGTCTTGTTCCACTCTTTTGTAGATTTCGAAGATCGATAAAAAACATGATCAAAGGAAAATGAGGAACACGAGGATGCAAAAATGTAAAATCGAAAATATTTACAAATGATTCGTAATTCCGGACGTTTGAGGAGATATGCTACCAAAGCATTGTCCTAAGGAACCGTCGTCAAACAAAGTCGCTCGTAAGTTCAGCCGCTGGCGAGTGTCTTTGCGGTCGTTTCTCTCTTACAGAGCTCACCAAACAAGCCATGCTTCCGTTGTTGTTAGGTGTTGAGCTCAAGAGTGATGGAGTGGATCCGCCAAACAGAAGGGATGAAGAACGACCCAGATGCCTGTTCCCAGCCTCCATGTTGGCGGTTTTCATCTGTTGAAGCTGACCATAAAGTTTACGTATCTCCTCCTAAAAATCAAACGATGACAGCTCGGATCAATGTCAGTATCTGAATAGCTACGCACCTCCCCTCCCCTGACCCAAAATTAGCCCTGACTTGTTATCAGTTGATAGTTGTTTGGTTAGGGTAGGGGTAGGGGGCGCAGTTGCGTAGATACTGACATTGATCTGACAATAATTTCAATAAAAGGGTTTTCATTTTAAGCTGAGATATTCGTTGTAAGTTTGAGTAGGTTCGTCGGCGCCCCCTTAAGGCTCTTAAGTCACAGTTTGAGAATATTTGATCAATAATTTCTTATTTGACCATTTTCCCAAAATGGCTCTTCAGGGCCAATCGTGATAAGCAAAAGCAACAAATAGTACAAATAACATAAGATCTTCTAGAATTCCTCGAGGTTTCGCAACATTGTAAATTTAGACTGTAAATTTTTTAGCATAGTTACGATCTTACTAATGCAAGCTTCATACTCTTTTGACCTCAGTAACCGTTTGGAAGACCTAGATGTTTTCCATAACCCACGATTTAGGAGTTAGTTGTAAAATGTGAGAGCAGATTATTCTATGGGAGCACTTCTGGTTTTCAGTCCCCTAAAAAAAGTGTTTAAGTTATTCTGAAAGTTTTGTTAGCGACGAACCCTCAATTTCCGTGACCTAGATTTCCCATCACCTTTGCATCCCTGTGGAAGGTTAATAGACTGGAAACTTTTTATCAGTCATTTTAGCGATGCTGTTCATGATACTTGGAGGGGGGGTGTGGAATAGACCATGGAAATGGTTTTTACTTCTATTTATACCTTGTGAGCTCACAATAATTTGGAAAGATGACTTAAATAAACACTTACCTTAAGATCTTCATTTTCTTGGCTCAAGTTCACCGTCCCTTCAGAGGACTGTCCAGTTGCCATATTGAGGGCAGCCCCTTTTATAGACGCAATCCTACCACTAGTATCAAATACGTCTCCGCGTCCCTTAATCACACGAATAATCTGCAAGACAGCATTAAATTATGTAAAAGTATGTACAAAAACTTGTGTAGATATCACATAAGAGAGAGCATGGTGATCTATTCAGCCCGAAACCTATTCCGGTTTTTAATGCACGAAGCGAGAAGGGGTAATCTTACTCCTTCTGGACAGGATGCCTGGTAAATAAAGGTAAACACCACAAGTAAATGAAAGAGCAAATATCACTATTTCGCCGGGTATTCTGGCAGTTCTACTTTATAATCGCGCATGGAGATAGGTCTCGTAAGAATGGATTGCTTTTCAAGGAAACACAAGAGAATAAGTGAGCCAGCTAAGGCTCGAACCTGAAGCTCTCGTTGGAAAGGAGCGAGCCATTGAAGCCCTTCCTACCCTCCCACCACCTAGCCTCCCCCCTCCCCCCTACCAAAATAAGAGAAAAAAAAAGTAATGCCGAAAAGAAATTTTATAAAAATTTAAAAAAAGGAAGGGGAAAAAAGAAAAAACTAAGAAAACCGATACTGGATCTCCTTATCATTCCCGTAGTATCTCCTTTACAAGCGGTTCTCGAATCTCTACCCCGAGTGACTCTGGCAAACGATCACAAAGAGCAGAAGTCTGGTGAGTCCCTTCCCCCCTGGGAAAGAGGCCTAGGCCAGTAGGCAGGTTCCCGACCAAACAAAGTAGGTTAGAGGAGGAGGCAGAGCTGTTTAATTTTATCCTATCTTTGCCACTGCCACCATTGTGTCCTCGCTCTGCTCCTACATCACTTAGTCCTCTTCGAAAGAAAAAACAACAACAATCAAACGAAAAGCGCCCAAGCAATTTCTTTATCCCTTTTAACCCTAACATCAGTATGCATATTCTCTATTCTCTTCTCTATACATTTCTTTAAGTGCCTATAGGAGAAGTTGTTTGACAATCAGGAGCTTCTTTATTGGTGATCATTTTCGTTATTCTTAGTGACCTTCAGCTGTGATTTAGCAGTGATATTGTCAGGAGAAGTTAGATACTGGTTACTCTTAGGAGTCAAAAGGTTTAAAGAACATGTTTTAGCTTCTCCTCACTAAGATCCTCACCTTGGGAACAAATACGAGCCCAACCAAAACGGACACAGCAAGCTGAACTCTGAAGAACTCCAGCAGGTAAATCATATCAGGTCCCGCCAGGTCCCCAATGAAAAGCCTGCAATAAACCACAGGGAAAAAGGTTTTTCAAATCCTTCAGCTAAAAGATGTCAATTACAAGTAAAATAAATCATGATGAAACAGAGGAAATGGGTAAACTGCCCAAATATCGGATTGCTTACAAGTCTTAACGTCAAGTAAAGCGATGATCTGAAATTTTAGCAATTATTGAGAAGGAGACTGAAAAATATTCCGACCCAGGCCTCCCAGATACTAGTCGGGCGCCTTTACCAACTGAGTTACTAAGCCACACGTCAGGAGCGAGACACATTTTGGAGGTCTCTTCTCTCCACCTACTAGAAATTATCTTTGCATTAAACTAAAAGTTTGTCTTTCCTTTTCTGAGTCTGTCTCCATTGCTGCAGCTGTCCTTATTATTTTTATGACTGTCGTTTAAAAGGTTTTTTAGATTGTTTAGAAAGCAGGTGTATCATCCCTCAGCCTTTTTCATACTTTGTTACATTACCAGTTTGCCAAGTCAAAATGTCCTAACGTCTGTTCATTTCCTAATCTGCTTTTCGTTGTGCGCTCTAAGACAGAAGACTGAAGACTGAGACCAATGGACAGAGTTTTGGGAAATATTTTGCTTCTGATCGCGTGGTCTGATTTTCCGGGTCAAATCAGCTCAGGGGAGGACTTAGTGTTGTCGGTATAAATAGCTGACGTTTTGAGAACCTCACTCATTATCACAGTCAACTAAAGAGCTGTTTTTCAGTCAAGTCTCACAAAGTCTGTTCGTGAAAGTGACCTGTCGGTTTTGCCTTGATGTTTTCGGCTGCTTACATGGATAACTCAATTAGCCTAAAAGGTCGGTATAAGATTAAAGGGGGCCTTTACTAAAATCTGAGCACCTTTTCCATTTTTAGATAACAAGGATAGAAAACTTCATCATAAAAACCGAAAAAATGATGACCGCGAGTGCAAAATTTAGGGAAATTTTTAAATTAGAAGACATCTGCGCGTGGACAGAAAGCTAAAACACTTAATGATAGACAGCTAAGTATTTCACTAAAAAGCCGGTTATCTCTTGGACATATGCATTAAAAGGGGCTGGATGGTAATTCGTGAACAGATAACTTAAAAGTTTTTCACTTAGTGAGTGAAATCTCACGAACGCACATGACATGAATAACAAAATGGTAGTTTTATGGCTTTGAGCACGTAAAATGTTGGCTCGATCGCTTTGAGCTCGTCTGAATGGTCCTTCACAAAGTTTTTTTTGAAATAACTTAAAACTAAACCTCCTTACCCTGCCTACTATAGCCGGAACTATTTGAGAGATCAGCTAAATGCTAAATAAAGCACAATAGAAAATATTGCTGTGGTTCACCTGTTATAAGGCTTCGTTTAAATACGAAAATTTGAATCTGAAGAGCCAAAAGTACAGCGCAAAAGTGCTGCCTCGCAACCTCTATTTGAGTGAATGGCTTCATAACAGCGGCGTTTCCCTAATCAAGCGGCCTTCGCAGTTAAGTTTTACAATTGCAATAGCATCAGAAGCCTTTTTATTAGAGAAAAAAACCAAACAGTTTCGAGAATATTCATAAATTAATTGATAATTTTCCTCGTCAGCTGCACGGAGTCCTAACTATCACTTGAACGCAAATGCTGACGCACATTGCTTGTAATGAGGCAATGGATTACGTAGGTAACTTGACAATCAGCGCAAACAGATGCATTACCTTAAAAAAAAAATTACCCATTCACTTCTGTATCCTAAGCATCCATTTAAATAGAGCCTTAAAAATGTGACACTTCTTTCAACCTGCGAAAGACAATGGCTCGGCCAATTTCTAAATAGTCACCACAAGGTCTCCAAGAGGTACGGACAAAAATCTGCGCCGTCACACGCAACAAAAGTATTCGAATGTATTAAGGGGATTAAATTTCTAAAGAAACTGTGGTGTATTTTGAATTTATCTACTGACTTGATAATTTAAATTGGCCATTGTAAAGAATTTTTTAAGCTGACGTTTCAAGCGTTAGCCCTTTGTCCGAGAGAATGACGAAAACCAATTAAAACAAAAAACAAAAAAACAAAAACAAAAAAAGTAGCCAAATAATCCCTAAATAGTTTCCCTCAACTTCAATTAAAAATTCATATTCCTTGAGCAAGTTTGTTTTCACTAGTTTTCACCAAGGTTTCTCTAAGGTTTAGGGTTGGAAAAGGATATTAGAAAAAGCAAAAAAACCCTAACCCTAAGCATAGACATCGAGAGAATAGAATACAACACCCTTTACCGTGTTCAACCGTACTGCATGAGGTTGCCTTCCAATTAAACTTGACATAGTGTGGCTATATTGACAATGTCTATTGTGACTCATGTTTATTGAAACAGCCAAAACGCACAGCGGGCACGAAATTAAAACCATTACCAAAACCCCAACAAGTAAAAATGCATCATGAATAGATTTTAAGCTTATTAAACTCGCTTCAACGCGAATGATGAGCGGTGCACTATAAATTTCAGAGAGGAAAAAGGCAAATATAGCAAAAATAATTCGAAAGTATTCGCATGATTGCCTCGCCTTACAAAATTATACGAGCACTGAAAACGAAGAATTAATTGACTGTTGATACGGGACCTCATTGCATATTTACAAGAACGTGCGGCCTGTCAGAAAGTGACGTTCCACCTGTCAATTTCCGGAAGGAAACCAATCAAATGCTTTGAAAGACCAAATAACTTGATTAATTATGTTTAAAATAGAAATCATCAGTAAGATTTTTACACCTTAATTCTAGGAAGGAAACAAAAATAAGCCCAAATAAATAAATTATTATAGGAAAGACCAAATAAAGATTTCTACCAAGGCTGTGTGGAGTATAGTCATACGTTTGATTCTGATAATAACAATAAATACGAAACAGAACTAAAGGAAAATAAAAGATGAATTTCCAAGGCTATCAAAATAAACGGTTCATTGTCCCTGCCATATGAATTATTCCAAGAGGAACTAAAGTGAGTTTGTACCTAAAAGTTTCATAATCCAACCATTAAATAACTTTAATTCACACGGGATAATATCTTTTATTCTTACAATAATCATTTATTATTAATATTATCATTATTATAATTATTATTATTATTGTCATTAATACCATAACTATCTATTAACTTACATTATAATATTTTATATTATACAAGTCTCTTTCAAGAAATTTTTGTTAGGGAATATGGCAAGAAAGATAGAAGTATGGAAACTTTTTTTGCCTTTTTTATCGCTGTTATTAATTAACATTTATCTTACATAGCATCAAAATGACAGTGGAAATAATTCCTCCACTGCCTTTTAACAAGTAATAATTCTTGTCAAGCCAAAATTGTCAAAATTAAGATAAGTCTTTTCATTATTTCGATGAAATAAAGAAGATAAAAAAAAAAAAAAAAAAGTTAAATGTTAAAATAAAGATTTGTGAAACGTGTGGGAGGAGATTGACTTCGGACACAATGCGTCAATAAAAATCATTACCCGGTAACAATTCTGCAAGCAAAAAAAGTGGTCACGCGGAGGGAGAGTACGTGACAAAGGAGAAATTAAGAAACTTGCATGACGTAAAATGTCAGAAATACTTTGTCCGCTAAAACGTTACAAAAGGCCTCTCGTGCTGTAGATATGTTTATGCACGTCCGAGGAGCAATTCACATATTTTCAGCCACGAAACGTGATCGCGAATAGTGATTAATTTTTAAAAGTGTAAAGCACATTAAGTTGTCATTCACAAGATCATTCCGTTTGCAAGAGTTAATCACTATTGTATTAAGAAGGGTTGAATTATTCAAGTTTGAGCCGAAGCTTGCGATCAACCAGTCAACAAACAGACCACAAATTGTCTTTTCTGTACATATTTTACAAGACTAAAGCATTCTTATAGGTCCTCTCTCAGAGAATAAAGGGGTAATTTTTTTTCCTCCCTTTAAATAAATGCAAGAGCTAACCTCATTTAAGGACAGCGAAAAAGTACTGGATTAAAATAGTTGAATTTAATGAGGAAGCTAGCCGGCTTAAGCTTTCGTCTACATTCTTATTAAAGGCAGCAGGCAACGTCACCTTAAAATGGGTGTCGTTGCGAATTTAATAAAGATATGCCTCAAATAAAAATTAGACTTTGAAATAATCTTTTGGTAGGGTACGCAAACAAATAAAAGATACTAAAAAAGGTTTAAGATAGAAGAGATTAACACGGATTGTGAAAAAATTAGCCTAAATGTTTCCAGGTCGAAGAATTGCGATGTAACGCCCTAAAGTTCTCATTTAGGATAGAAGAGAAGTGTAAAAAACCGTCCCTGTGAAAGCCAGCGAGTTAGTGTCGATTAAGTTAAAGGAAAACATTGGAGAGAATATTCCATCGTCGAAAAAAGGGTGTTTGTCAAAGGTGGATTAAAAGACGAACACATGCTTCAATAAAGGACACTGACGGAGAAAGTGACATGTATTTGTTCGGAACTGAGTGTTAAAAATTAAAAACATGGGCTATACAGTATTAAGGTTTACTTAAAAAGTTACTGATTCAATCTAGGTGTTGTTAATTAAAGTAAGGGCAAAATTAAATGGAAACTAGTCGAGTCGGCAAAAACATATATCGCGTACATTGTTGGTCGCGTAATACGCATTATTAAGGAACTGAATAACCTAAAATTAGTCACTCGTTCAATAAATAACAAGGACTGATACTCGTCTTCAAAACTGAGTTTTATTATATAGTTTCTGTACATGGAAGATTTTTCATTGTCACGAATAAATAGTTAACAAGAAATATTGCTGAAAAACCATCAAATGTACTTCCATGTTTTTTGTCAAATTTTTAATCAACTTTACGACTTGTATGCAAATTTGATGAATTTTTTTTTGTTAATTTTCACCGTTCTGTTTATTTCGTCCAGCGACAGAGTGGAATGAAGTAGGGCGGTTTCAACCAAATTATACGCGGTGGAGTTTCGTCCCCGCACTTTTTATTCCAATGTTTATCAGTATTATCATTACAACTGTTTTGCGCGCTGTGGCGGTCGCGCGATTCTTTTTTGTCGAGGAGTTTTTCCTATCACCAAAATTGTATAAACTCGAAAATATTATCTTCGGTTTTAACAATACACCTTTTACGGCAGCTCGACAAGGAAGTTTTTTTTTTCTTCGGCAACAAAAAAGAGCTGTATGCATTAGCGATCACAAAACCCATTGATAAAAAGATTGATTTTTCAGACGATAGCTAGTGAATAAAATTTCGCAAACGTTTCCAATTGTAAAACGAATGAATGAACATATGCCGTCTGTTTGTTTAAAAGAAAATAGAATTCTGCATTATAGTGTATGAATATTAATGGAACGAATTTTGTATTTACATGCTTTTTGCCTTAGTTCACTGCAAGGGCCTTTTTTATTGAAAATTCAACCGGTTTCCGCGATAAGTCGCTAAATAAACTCATTGCTAAATTGAACATTTTTAATTGTTGGCTTCTTGTTGTCTCGGTAAAACAGATACTCGCGTCTTGTAACTGCCCTTGTTTCCTCGTTATATTTCACCTTGAAAACAGCCCAATCGAAATTCGCCTCTCGTTCGGTGCAGCCCTGATATCGGCCCGTGAGGAATTGTGGCCACAACGCCGACCTGCTTGCTTGCTATTTTGGCCATTTTCCACTTTCTTCAAAGGGAATATCTGGCTGCTTTCCATATCCGATTCAGCAAGACATGTAGTTCACAAGGCAGCAGTTATGAAACCCACTAAAACAGATCGACAATAAATATCCACAAAAAATTTATCGAGGAAAAATTGCATCCTGTTCTCGTTCATAGGTTGTTCGCATTTCACAATATTCTTCGAGCGATAAAGCGAGTCCAAGCAGCCACGAATAAATTTAACGCGTCGATTCCACAAAACGATGTTATTTTCTGGTCAGTTTCACTGGTAAAACTTCAGTGGTTTCCAACCGGTTTTATATCACATTGCTTGATGCCCCAGTTGACACTGACGTGACGGCGTTGCTCGCTTTAGTTGGGTTCTCTAAGGCTAACATTATGTCATGATGCAAGTCTATATGTTTCTTGTGATCGGAATCACTCGCTGTTTGAAACATCTTAAGTTCGCCGATTTCCTGTAAAAGTTTCAAGGTGTCTGCATTGACCATTTGTATCGTCGGAGCGAGTGTCGCTTTGTCCTTTTTTCCCTTCTCCTGTGTTCGATTCGAACGCTTTCCAGATGCTTTATTCGACGGAGAGTTTTCCTTCGGAGAAGTCTCTTCGTCCTGTCGTCGAGACGGCAAGCATCCCATTATGCGAATTTTAAAACACTCTCTCATCTAGAGAAGAAAACATCGCGATAACACAACATTAATATTCAGTTTTTCCGCCGAAGAATTGGCATCCCAACACGGTATCCGCCGCTAAGCTCGGAGTTGTACTGATCAGCCTGTATTTAGTATTCGATAACATTTAATTATTAACCAACGCTAGCAGACGTGTTTGATACCGATGACGTCATTTCGTGTTATTGTCAGAGCGAAAAGTACAGAATGAAATTTTTCATGTTTCGATTTCGCGTTGCGAAAACGTATATTCAAAGTAGAAATTTATATTGCATTAAAACGAACAACAATGAACTTCAGAAAAGCTAGAAATTAAGCTGTGGTTTCGTATGAGTGAAAAGGTCAAAGTAAAAAAAAAGGTACATAATTGAACTCTATATTTGCAAGTCCCGAAAATCTTCGACCAATATTCAAATTGCATTCAAAGTTCATCACAGCTGATTCAATTCACACAGACATACACTGTGTCTTAAGGGTGATAACATCGCCAAAAGAGGATAGAACGGGCATAAAAATTTATCGAAGGCATATTTGTTTGAGTTAAATTAAAAACATCAACGAGTCGGTAAGTAATATTCACACAGTCAGTCACTCAGAGAGACATGTGTAATCAAACAAGATTAAAACCGCAAATAGAGTAAAATACATGTCCACACACATCTGATTTTAGGAGAGTTTCACGTTCAAACAGATATCGATGGCTGTTTAACAGAGGTTAACGGCGTACCGTGCGGACTTTGCACTTGCGAAAATTTCGTACAAACACAAAATCCAATTTTTAAAATAATGGACGAAATAATTACTCACACATTACTTTCACACATTACTCACCTTTCCCTTTGAGAAGTAGAAGAACAGTGTGGGATTCCCTTAGTTACGGCCTAATAGATGGCCAGCTTGTGTGTGCGTTTGAGTAAAGAGAAACACTGGCACTTCGTGCCAGGACGCACTGGAAGCTTTGATCCACACAAGAAGAGGCTTGTGAAATAATGAATGATTCGGTGCTTGCAATGAGTGGGCTTATTTATAAAAAGACCGTTTGACGTCATAAAATTCTCTCACAATAATAAACACTCGACGGGGGTCACGCAGTTTGGTTGTCACTCACGCCTTTTTCAAAATATGATCCTCTGAAGAAGAAGAAAAACCGCACGGAAATCAAAGATTTTTCAGGAAAGATCCATCGACCATTTCCCCCCAGCATCTGTCAACGCTTCTTGGCGTTCCTTCGGACAAAGTTGGTCTAAACATGACAATTAGCTCGTGACGATATCATAATTATTCATTGTTTGACACAGTGATATTTTTAGATCGGATATAAAGGTTGCTAGTAGCCCGTGACTGCGAAAAAAGTTCTCGTACAGTCACCCAAGAGAATGAAGTAGTGATACGTTCCAAAATGCATTAGTTCCTCGTGGCGTGAATAGAGTTCCACCGTCGCGTGTTTTCCAGAACGTTCCATTGATGTAACGTTCTTTTCACCAATGACGTGCGTAACGAAACAATTAACTCCGTCAATGGCAAATTAAAGCAACATTAAGTTATAACTTTGCTCGCTGCTTCAGAGAAAGTGGAAGTATTTCACACGCAGAACAAAGGAGGCTTGTAAGCGATATAAGCCGTTTGGTGACGCAAGGGTTCCTTAATACATCGAAGGGCACGCATCGCCTCAATCCATACGTGTACACCACTTTCGTTCCATGATTCTTTGCCTCCTTCAGCAAGTTCGGAACGAGACGATCATTCAAAATGACAATGATGATAAGCGATAAATCAAATAAATAAACTTAACAATCACAGCGCATTTAGTTCAAAGTGACTTTACGCACTTATCCGCTTGCAAGTTTTTTTTTTAAGATTTTCTTGATTTCGAAACATTCAAAACTTTTTTTTTTTAAAAAATAAAGGGGCGCTGATGTTTGTGACAAGATGATTACTTAGCTTATCGAGTGCACTTAATGAACTTTCGATAATTAACGCTTATGCAAGGAATAAATAGAATTTCTAATGAGGCAGCTCAATACAAGACTAACCAGGAAATCCAAAAGCGATATCATTCTGTCTTTGACGGTGGAAACCCCTAAAAGTGTTAAATGACAGAACACCCACGCACGCAAACATTTTGCTTTCTCACGGTGACAGGTGGTAAGCCGGCAGTTTAAAGATTAAAAGCAAACTAAAAGCGACGTGGGATTCCCTTCCGTTTGGAAAGTACTGACTTCATGAAAGAAACCTTCATATAAGTATTGCGAACGATCAACGCAGGAAATGAGTAATATCTTACGTAGTGGAAATTCGTATTGTGGCTAAGAAAAGCGAAAATAGAGAAGGAAATGGTTAATCACTAATAATAGAGGTGCCAGATAAATTCCAAAGATTAAATGTTCGACGCGCGTACACGCCAGAGATAAAAAGAAAAAAAACGAATGAACAGACAAAAATATTGATGTGCTTTGTTTCATTTTGTTTTCAACAGATGATTACGTCAAATTAAGTGCGTAGCAGTGCCCATTATTTCAGTTCCACAGATAGTTGTATGTACCGAGCTGAAGAACGATACTTCGGTAATATCGTGGAGAAGAAGCAATTTTTTCTTACAGCTTACGATTAAGATGACGATAATGTTTTAAAGAATAAGATATAAATCTCAAAGGCGAGATGAAACCATAAAAGATTGAAGATTGCCAAAGACGCAGAAGATTTATATGGATTATACAACTAACTTATAAAATTTAAGGCCAACATTTTTTTCTTGTAATATGCATAAACGGCAACGCAACAAAACCCCTTTTAGTAGTAACGTCGCCGAAGAAAAGCCCTTATTGTCTCCATAGTAAAACTGAAACAATTAATGGCTTAGATTCCGGTATTTCCCGGCGCCATCGGAAAACCCCTGATCTGTTCTGATAGTCGATTTATGATAGAGAACAGAGACTTGTTTACGCGCACTTCATAGAAGTAAATGTTTGTCTTGATAAACACACGACTCGTGACTTCAAGTGGCTCCTTCAAATGATAAAATCGATTAAGTATCATAAGGGAATGATCAATGAAGGCAAAATGATCTATTACTATATTTGCAAACCCAGAGACAGTGAATCGCGATCGAATTCGTCAACAAAGGTTAAGTTCCAAAACAACGAAGTCTTCGGTGGATGAAACAATTCATCTTCTATCGGCATCATCAAATAAACACTCCTTAAATACTTCACTTCCTTAATAAACAGGTAACAATTTCCTTGGGTCGCATCCGCGCAATTATTATCATAATTATTTTACGAGTGAGTGCGCCAGAAGCGACTCCGGACAGCGGAAACAACCATGACAGCAGGGCGAGGGCGCTATGTAGTCCTTTCGTTGCTTAGCAACGGTGCCAGTGCAAACTTGCAAAATATAGGCGGGTATCGGACAAAGAGCGGATAAAAATCGCGACAGAAGGGCTACTACAGAGAATTAGCGTTAAGATTTAAAAACTTGCTCGTAGTACATAGTTTTAGATTGTCTCCAGTTTCGAGGTTGCTGTTGTAAGTATCCATCTGGATGTGTTTTCGGGGTTGTTAACTGTTGTTTATTGTCGTTGTTGTTTTTTCAACATTCATTGCGACCAAACGCAGACTTAAAACGATTAAAACAAAGCTGAATGCAATATATACTGTCAAATTTAATCGACTGTCAAACTCTATTATCACAGCCGGTAAAACTCAGCGAACCAACTCCAGCTTTAGCTCGTCTGATCGAATCCTTAGACTACAAGAGGAAATCTTTATTAAGCAACCCCAAAAAAGATCAAATTCTTTATTCGTCTACTTTATTTTCAAAAAAGTGGTCATATCTTATGTATTTTCTCACAGAAAGGCGATGACGTCAAATAGTGACAAATTTTGCCTATGGGAACAAAGTCTGCCATTAAACCATTTTAGCCTTTGACTCTAAGAGTGACTGGCATCAAATATATTTTTACAATATCACTTCTGATTCACACATTAAGGTCACGAGAACAAAGAAGAAGACAAACAAAGACGCTCTTGATTGTTTAACAAATTCTCCTTGTCAACATCTTGGAGAATGTATGGAGAACAGTATGGAGAATATACAAACTGTTGTTAGGGTGTATAGGGTTCATCAGTGAAACATGAGGTACCTTCCGTTCAGAAAATTAGTCAAAAACCACCTTCCTTTTCCGAGCTTCCTACATGGACGACAATCCATCCCGTTCACTCCCGAGATGACACAAAGGATGTATCTCATCAAAATACCCATACAATTCAAGAGATTAATATAAAAAGTTTATAATCATAAAAATTACAGTTTCCTCGATTGTGATTGGTTTAAAAAATTCCTGCTTCCCATTAATTCACTTGCCACGTTGTCATCGGACAGCTTGTTACAAGGCAGTTCAATAAGCCAATCACGTTGAAAGTTGTAGTTTAAATCAACCAATCAAATAATTAAACAATTTACGCCTCCTTTGTCAGTCTTTTAATGCAAATTTTCCCTTTCTTTCATAACTGGGCTATTCTTCTTTTCTCGGAAATTGTAATTTTATGATTGATTGTTAGAAAGATTTCGTTTCGTCCAATTCGGTCTGTAACCATACTCGTGATTAACAATCGATTTTGTTATCGCTCATATGATTATAAACCGAATTTGACTCCACTCAGTCCTGTTATCATCAGTTATAATCTCTTGTACAATTATAAGCCGACACGCGTTTGAACAAAGAAAAAAAATTGCACAGAGTTACATTGTTTGATTTAACATCAAAATCTCAAAGCAAAAAAAGTAAAGCAGATAGTGCAATTAATTGATATTCAGATCTCGACAGTGATGGGGTTTTTCCAAAAATTAGTTAAATTCGACACCCTTCTCCGCATGTTGCTATTTTTGTTGTTTTTGATGTTGATCACATCTCATCCAAAAGTATTATCAGCACTTATTCAATATAATCTAAAATATCTTGGATCAAAAATAGATATAAACCAGACTGGATTGAAGAATGTTTTGTTACAGGAAGGAAATTACATCAATCAGATTGTATCATTAGGAATAGACAATTAAAAAAAATGCTTTTCTTCATAGCACGTAACCTTTGGCAACTAAAGAACTGATTTCATTGCCTTTGCTGGTTAATAAATTAGTGCCAGTCTTCTACATTTGTATCTACGACATAACTTGTTGTATACGATTAAGTAGCACAACGCAAACGTAAATACACCTGACAATCTTGTCTGAAACTTGTCTTCTGACGGCGCAGCAAATGGCTCGAGACAGGTTGGAAGAAAAATCATCTTTTGTTTAGGGTCTTTAAAAGTCTGCAACCAGCCTCTTCGAGAGAACTAGCTAAAATCTACCAGTTTTAAGGACTGAAAATTAACCATTCGAGTAGTCTCAAGAATTCTTTCTGCCAATTCCTTCATATCTCCTTTGGGTTCGAGGAACCAGCTGCTAAAATCAGTCGAAGCAATCTGTCCTCTTGTGCGCGCTTTCACCAACCCACAAACTATCAGAAATTGTTCACACTTATATCAGACTCGCATTAATTTTAGCAAACCGTTTTATGATAAGGATCAATAAAAAAATACTAACATATTTTTGGTTGATATTGTGTTAATATCACAAAACAAACAAGACCTTCCGTTGAAAGCTTAAGATAGACTGTCTCCAAGACAGCAACGGCAAACATAGAGGGGCCGTTAAAGAAATAAATGGTTTCGTTTATCGTCAAGAGGCTAAAAGTATATTGCTCGCATAGTGAGCTGTAGCGAGCGAAATACTGTGAGTTGGGTAGGAGTGCAGGTGTATGTCGTAGAAACAGTCAGAGTCCGCGTCGAGAAGAGAAACTGTAAGGTGATTTGGTTTTCCTATATTCTGCGCTTCCTAAACAAATTGCAAGGTGAACACGACACTCGAAAGCTTAGAAATAAATAAGGATCTTTAATTTGAGATCGATCGTTTAAAATATGTTAAAAAACGAATGAAACTTAGAACGAACAAAAAAGGCAGAAGTGGTAACATAGTAGTTCCATTCACAGTGAGCGACTGTCGACAAGAAGAGACTGAAACTATCGACCAACAAGTTCATGTAGTACTTTTGAAATGCAGTTGGACGTGAATAATCAAAGTACTGACTCCAAAGTCGTGAACGGACAAAGAGATCTTTACAATAGAGTACACACCGTTTCTTAACGCAAAAGAAGCGTAGTCGCAGTCTGTCCATGTGGATAAATTAAGCCGAAGTTTTGCAAATTCTCTAAGAACAAACTGCTTAAATCCTCTCGAACTTTATCCATCTTGGCTCTTATTTTATTCTTGCGTCTTTTTCGTTTGGCGAACTCACCGAGCCTTCCACTATGTACTCGTTTCCTTCAACTCTTTAAACCCCGAGAGCGATCAACATCTAACTGCTCTTCACAGTCATACTGCTAAATCATTCATTAAGTTCGTGAGAATAAAGGGCATGATGGCCAACTTAAATCAAACCAAAGAAGCTTTGATTGTTAAACTAATTCCGTTCGTCACCGATGGAAAAGCACAGATAAGAATATGGGGAATAACAATGATGATGTCAACGTATGTAACAATTTATTGAAAAGTTCGACATCTGTAAATTACCCCACCGTGACGCCATGTTTACTACGACATTTTAAAATGAGTATTCAATTCTTAAAAACAGAGTCAATGAATGGAACCCCTGTTCACAGACATACAAAACATTCATTTTAATTCAAAACACCCTTTGGAGCGATGCCATCCTTTGCAAAGTTTTATCCTTTTCCTCGAAAGAAACGTAAGGAAAATTGTCCGTGTTTTGTAGTTTTTTCTTTTGTGGATAATCAAAATGACAAAAATAGTTGATACCCAGAGGAAAAAATCATTCGTAAGCTTACATGAAACTTGAAGACATCATCTCGTTTTCTCTTTCCTTTGAAGGGAACATTTGAATGAATCGTGGATCGAAAGGTTTAAAATTTATTTATTTATGCAAGCAAGGAAGTATCCTCTTACAACATGGAAACCATACTTATTCACAGAATAAACTTATTCAAAAAGCAAAATAAAGGACCTCGCCCGGCGAAGCATTCTTTTTAACCGACACGGTGAAAGTAACCAATACACTTATGAAAGTAATATTTCAATCGCAAAATCTTACAGCTGTTCTTCAGTAAAGAAGAAGTCTTAATCTTATGGTAGACTGCAAAGTGCAATCTATTCCTATCTCTCAGTGTGCGTGCCCACAGCCATACAAGAAAAGTTATTTTACAACGCGAAAAAAGAAACCTTAAGAGCATTCGAAACGAGAACATATCAGGAATTCACCCACTTGAAACTTCGTTCTTAAAACCAAAGATAACTTGACTTTCTTGTGAACTCACGAAAACACTCGATCAAAAATAATCAGAGAACAGCTTTTGACGGAAGGGTTTGTGGACCAACGATGACGCACCTAGCGGTTTCCAGATTTCAAGATGCTCACCGCAAAATAGTTACTCACAAGAACACATGTAAAATGCCGCGTGTTGCTACATTATTGAACTTTCCATTGCATATTCAAAGATCTTCAAATTATTGCTGTATTTACGTCATGACCATCAAAGGTCATGAACCTGCATCAAGGATATTTCTTTATTTAGAGGACAGACGTAGGTGTGGAATTTAGCACGAATAACATCAACACATAGTTATATTTCAAAATATTAAAGGATATTACATTCAATCTTATCTTATCAAAAGGAACACTTTGCTACCCTTCTACATTTGGAAGTCGTCTGTGTGTACTTAGTAAAATGGACTTAACAAAATAATTCACCGGAATGGAAAGGTTCCAATATCTCTTAAACTAATAGAACCGATTAAAAAACCGGCAACTTTTCCTTGCAATATCAATTCGTCATTTGGCAAGTAGATGATTGATAAAATGTCAGCCAGTGGGGGTTATCTCGGTATAAACCAAATTCCCTCTCTCATCAACAACGCAATATCTTCCTTTGCCAACATTACCAGCAGAGTCAACAACAGAGGCTAAACATCATTCACTCGCGATCTATCTTACGCCATTTTTAGGTTAAAAAAATGTAGTGCGAATTTGTTTCCGATGAAATCTGGGTAGAGTTCATACCCAGACCTTTGTACCGAGTATTGCATCTAACATGTTAAATTCGTTTGGACACCACGACCAACATCTTTCAATAAAGTTCAATTCAACAATATGGAATGATGTTGGATCCTTTAGGCTAATCTTTCAAAGAGACAATATGCTACAGAAACAATATCATTTTATCTTCACCATTAAAAATGTATGGAATGAATGACACTGAAGGTAGTTCCAGTAAATTCCAAGGAATAACCTCACCTTTCGAAAGTTGCCTTTAAGTGTGTTAAAAATTCGATTATGGAAGCTGCCATTTTGAATACTGCTTAGCAACCAGACAGCTTTCCTTTGACATCACAACCTTTCATCCAAGCTAACTTTTACTTTCTCTCGGTAATCTCTTGAACAATAAAGAGCTCCACAAAAAGATGCTTTTGACCCCAAAAGTGAGAAAAAAAAGATTTCTGTGTGTTACTTTGTTTACCGCGATGATCAGAGAAGCAGTTGTTTGGGAGCCGCTCAAAAAGGTTATGCGAGTGCGGCCAGGTTACTGAGTCTTGAAATTACTGAGGTTCGTGACTCTTTGAAGTCGCATAACGCAGCTAGTGTCTTATTTTCGTGTATAGGTAGAGAAATGGTTTCTGGAGAATAATTCTCCTTAATTTGAAGTAAGTAATAAAACTAACCATACCTCGTAATTTTGAGGAAGAAAGTGACCACAGTCAAATTGTAAATTGACCAACTGATAAACTTGCTCTCGTTGAAGGCGGATGGTGCTTTCCTGACGTTATAGCACAGGTGGATTCCCCAGAACAAAAAGAGTGTTTCAACTAACAAAGGCAAGAAAGAAATTCAACAAACTCTACTCAGCACTGGCGGGAAAAACGTATGCAAAATGCGGGAGGAGACAAATGATGGAGCATGAGATCCCTTTTCTCTAGGATATTATCAAAACGCGATTGACAAAAAGCACTGATGGTGAACCTACAGGCCTAAACGTAGAAAGAAAGTTACTTCTTTGTAATTTTTGTTGTTGTCGTTGTATTTTTTTTTTTTGAGTAGAGTGAATGAGGCCTAAGTTTAACTTACATATCAAAATGGCATGGTCCCACCAGTCAAAGGAGCACTCATGGAACTTAAGATCCCCTGGCATCTTCATTTCTACCACGTGACTCGGGCCGGCTAGTGACCAGGCCAGCAGATAAACCACGTACAACGCCAGAATGGGAGCGAGGCGCTGGAGAAGATGGCGATCAGTGAGCTTTATCTTCTGTGCAGATTTAACACGAAATATCACGGAAATTCTGCAAAAGAAAAAAATAGCAGAAAAGTTACGATCTTCGCAATGCATCATGCGGTAACTTCTACAAACTATATAGCTGAGATGCGATCGCTCTGATTGGTAAATTAAGTGCGCTATAGCGAAATTTGACCCACACTCGCATAAATCTTTACGGGCGGGCCAAGCACCATTTTGAGTTCACCCATAAATTAGTGGCACATATCGAGCGCTTCATCGTTGTGTACATAAACTCCCAAAATCTTCAGATAATGCAAGCTCCATTAGGAAATAGGTGGAAAGTGTCTAAGGAAATCTGGAATAATTCACATAGTAATTAACAAGGCAAAAGTCCTTTTGATCTCTTCAGTTAATTTTTGTGCAAGATAAGGATGGAGAAGTCAAGTTTCTAGCCTTGGTAGGTTACCATACTCTCTTCGTTATAGTGTCACGCTCCGCGCACTCCGCTGTAAAATGTCTAAATTTTTTATAAGAGCTGTTTGCTTTCGAAACGTATTCAGTTAACCATTGTTCTGATTTCTATAAAATCTCAACTAAGGGATTTGAAACAGTGGTGATGCGTCGGTGGGAGGCATTACACGATAATTTGCCTTTACAAACTGAGGTGATAATGTTAACTGGTCGCCGTAAAGGGTTTTATAGCTGACGGACGTTTCGAGACTTTGTCCTTCGTCAGAGCGTATAGAGGAATTGTGGGTGCTTTATGGAAAAATTAAGCTACACCATTATATTAGTGAGAACAGCGTAACGTGAAAAACAAAAGTATAAATTTTTTGAATGAAAAGCGTTCGTTGATACCGTGGAAAGAAAAAGTGCCATTTGAAAGATAAATTCCTCAAATGGCTCAGACAAAGGGCCAACACTCGAAACGTCAGCTTTAGAAATTCTTAACAGTTGCCGGTCTGCTCAAAAATTCAAATCACCATTTCAAACTTAGTATAGTTAATCAATTACTGGGAAAACCGGCTAAAACAATGACGCTGTACTTTATGATGGGAACTCTTCGACCGCTCACGATCTTTGTTTTTGTTTTGTAACTAATGGAACATCTGTATGATTTCCAGACTCAGTTACCTGCACAATCATCACAAGAGAAATTTCAGATCGCCCTCAACCCTCTAATTCGTGAGAGACTGGTTTCTAATTTATCCTCACATTATTATCCTTGAATCAATTGTAAAGGTCATGAGAATAAGAGAAATGGTCACAGATCTAAGAAGTACCTGATTGTTAAACAAATTTTCCTAGTCATTATCAAAGTAACTGTAGAGTGAACATCGGTGGACAATATAAATATTATTGTCAGGTTTTATGGGGTAACAACTCATTTGGCTGAACCCCTGGAAATTGTTTAAAAACAATATGAAACTCACCTCCAAGTTTTGAGGAGCAATGAGGTGAAACCAAGTCCAAATCCAATGTGGCGAAACCAAAGACGAACGATACATAAAGTATTCTGCGGTTCAGGATACAGCACAAGAATCTGACGCGACGGAAACAGAGACACAGTTATAGCCGGGGATTTCAATAACTTTTCCATGGGCGGCTGTGCCGAAAAGATGAAACCCAAACACGAGAGCCTGCGCGTTGGCTAAACAGACAGCGGTAAGAGATCTTATGACAGGCGCTAAGCCGCCTATAACTGGCTTTACTGATACTTCTGTGGAGCCATTGGAACTTATCATGATTACTACTCTAAATAATCACTTTTTCTTATGTTGCTGTTCTTTCTGTTTTGCGTAGAACACATTGTGTGAAATTTGACTATTCGGTAGCACAACTGTCATTCTTCATGACGGCCTGCTTTCAACATTTTAAGGAGAATACACATTTAAGTCTCGTTTTAGTATTTCAGTTAATAGTCCTTTCTTTTCAGGCCAATTATACATTTCATTCGCGTTGAATGTGTTCAAAGGATACGAAATCTAGGTTTTGTTTGATCTGGGCCATTTTTCCTTGACCTGAGTCAACTATATTTCGTGTGCGCAGTGATTAAAGCACAGCCTGTTATGCTGTTATGTCTTGAAAGACTCATAGTGCAACTCAACTAACCTCGCTATACGACAACATACATCCTGCTAATATAATGACAAGAAAATGGGGACTAGCCGTCTTCACAACCTGCAAGAAGAAGGCACATGGACCGAGTTAATTTGTTTTTTCGACTTAGTATAGAAATTTGCCAATAGTACATCACTGCGAGCTAACGGTAAATTCGCCACAACATTTCTAGCGAGATAATGATTTAAGCATTTTCAGCTGACCAGATTAAAGAAAAAATTACGTTGTGGAACCCCACCAAACTCACCCGCCCTACTGGATCCCTCCAACTCCGAATTTTCTAATCCTTAGTGGAAAACGATGCTCTATCCAAGACGACAGAGGTAAATTCTACACCCAGCAGAGAAATTTTCTCTTTGGAGTTGTCCATAACTATAGCTTTGTAGGAAAGCACTGACGGGAGAAGGGTGGGGAATTTCTAACTCACTACTAATCAGGAAACTCACCTTCAATTCACGGAAATACAAAATAAACGCACTTATCCCAATGGCGGCCAGGATAGTGACCACAGTCAAACCCATCAACGCTCTCCTTAGCGGCCAGTTCAATGTTACAATGCACGGGGAATCATCCACGCATGCATCACAGCCAGGCTGGCACTTGATGCATTGAAAGGAGTCTGGGTTCGAGTAATACCTGTGACTTGGCTCAACGGCTGCGGCCTCGATTTCAGATCCGTTGAAATATTTCGCGTGAGAGGTAACGTTCGGGAAATAGTACCCAGGCCTACACACGCATTTGTAGGAACCGGCTCTGAAACCGAGTCCAGTTACAGGCAGGCACTTTTTTAGGTAAAAACGGAAAAGAAAGGGATCGATCAATATCAAACTAAAACTAATACCTCATCGAATCCAAGCTATAAAAAAATTTTAAACCTGTTTTGTTAATTAAGCACGATTTAAGATTGTTCCTTTGTGAAAGATGCATAAACTTGACCTCAAATTTGGCTTATTGAAAATAGAATTTACTGATTACATGAACCCCATGCAAAATATAGTCCCTGCTTGCTGCTTTTCATTCGGCAAAACCTTGTTGAACTAAAAGTTTTTCGCTGATGTGAATGTGGTACATGCTGTGAACAGGGCAAGTGCCAAACGGTACTATGACCGATTTTCATCGGACGAGGGGAGCAAGGCTGCTTGTAACACAAGTTCGCGCATGAAAACTGGCGAAAACAACTTGAAACAATGTAAAATTTACGGCAGTTTTATTCTCCAAATTCTCGTCTCTTCTGATCCTGACGAAATACTATGGTCTAAGATTGCAAAACTTCCGACTGTTGAAAGACGGTAGCTGCAAAATTTTGCAAGGAAACGGAAGTAACGGGATGCAGCTTTTACACGACAAGCTAAGTGTCGTGATTTATTGCTTGTTAGCTGGTGTGCAATGATAGCTGTCATTTTACTTTTTCATGGCCACTTTTAATTGCGCATCATGTTGCAAAAGTGTTAATGACTAGTTCATGACATGTACAGTTGCCTCACCTGAGTGGTTTCATTTTTACATCGATGAGTACCAGCGAAAATTTCGAACTGAAACTTGCCCTCAGACCCCTTGTCACACTGATTTATGTCGACATTCGTAAGAGCGATATCAATTGTAGTCATGCCCCTGGAAGAGTCACAGAACAGGTAAAAACAGTAAGAATATCAACCAATGATTGTGGCTGGAATATTTATATTACACAAAGTACCCTCTTTCCCCATTCAAAGTGGTACAATCACAGGAAACAAAGTGAAACCAGTGTACTGGGAGAGGGGCTAAAAGCAAGTGCATCCAGGATATAAGTGGTATTCACGCCCAGAATATTGCGGCTTTAGTGGTTATGTGCCGACAATTTTCTTGTTGAAAGTAGTTGTCTCTCTAGCCTCAGTCAATTACCCTTAAGAGTATTTAAGATATGATTCATGATTCTTCGTTATAGCTGCAAAGAATTAACTTGTGCACAAGCTCCGAGTAGTGCATCAAGACAACTTAGCTTAGCTTAGCTTGTGCACATGCATCCGAGTAGTGCATCAAGACAAAGTTCTTCTCTTTGACTGATAAGTTGTCGAATCCTTTATCACATGTTTGTTTGCGATATTGTACTGATATAATATTGTGACTAGAAGTTTGGGCTGCCTCAGTCGAAAGGAAGTAAGGTGACAGGTACGAATGCAAACATTTCCTTGAGATTCAGAGGAAAGTCAGTGTTTGAATTGATTTCCCGCAGTGAAGTTTATTTGACTTTTCTACCTTTTTTGTAAAGCCAGAGCTAAAAAATAAAAATTCTATTTATCAATTAAATCATTGATTTTTCTTTTGAATTCAAATAAACATTGACTGTAAAAGAAAAATGTACAATAAACTAAAACTGAAATGAAAAAAACGCAATTCAGGTAAATTTGACAGAACATCATTATTTCTATATATCTATATTACCACCTAAAGAGGAGATATCTAGTCTAAACTTACATGAAGGAGATCGATCCATTACTGTCCCAGTTGCCAAGTATAGGAGAGGTGTACGTTATTAATCAGGCTCTCGCTGTGGTGCACTCGAAGTAAGGACGGCTCCATAGTCCATCGATAGACTCCACAAACTTGTGCGTGAGTTTTAGCCGTTTCGGTGCGGAAGAAATATCATTTTGTTCATAGAAGTATGTGGTTCGCTCCGGAAAAGGCCTTCCGCGTGATTTAAACTTCATTAGCCTCACAAATGCTTCGTGAAGATAACTCCAGCCGGCAGACAGATCTGTGACTTTAATGAAAGTATCGTTTGCGTTTCTGTAGGCGTACGGTGCATAAAACGAGTTGTTTATAAAGCTGTTATTGTCAAAAATGATCGCTGAACCTACAATAAGCGGGTCGTTTTCAAGGTTGTTCCTTACAATCGCGTGAAGAACTTCCCTGTGCGTCTTCAGCACTGGTTTCCCGGAAATATTCAATGTTTTAGCGGAGCCCGTTGGTAACAGATCGGAGATTAAATTAGCTGTACGAATGGCGAGGTTGGCTTGAGCGGTGTAGACGCTATTCTCGTATTTAAAATACAAAAGCTTCAAGCTTCTCTCGGCCAGCATTGTTGTGCAGTCGACAGTGCCGTTGTGCACCTCTTCGATGGCTTTCAGTGCCTGTCGCGCTGTCATGTTAAAGGCTCCTGAACGATCATCTTTCACTGGCGGACGGTACGGGTTGTGGATAGATGGATCGTCTTTGTAAAGCAAATTATCTGCTGCGTTGCTATCGCGAATAGAAGAAAATACAGCGAACGTGCAGAGCGAAACCAGTACATTTACCATCCTTGCGGTTCCACTGACTGTCTGGCGTCGCAAAACTGTTTGTTCTCGTCTTTCAAGCCACTTTTGATCAAAATGCAAATCGATGTTGTGATTCGAGGTGCTAATGGAATTTATACAGACCAAAACGAAACCTTTTCAACGCGAGCGACGAAATAGAATGGATCCAGTGCAAACAGACACATCGAATGTACATGCACGTTGACAGATTACCCAAGGATAGTCGTGTAGTTAATTACAAATCTTAATTGTCATCAAATCAAATCACAATCGAAGCACATGAAACATGTCACTGTAACCCAGGACAGCTTCGTAGTTTGTTTAGGTCGTAACCAATAAACTTAAGTCAACAAACGCGAGTAGCATTTCGAAAGTAGATGACTGCTATTAATAACAAAGTAAGCGACAAGAACGGTTGTGTAATACCTTCTTCACGTCGGGCTTTCTGACCCAGATATTTTTTTCCGTCAAAAGATAACTCAAGATTGATACGCGCTAGTTCTGCACCTTTGCAGGATTTTGTTTGACAGAGAGAATAGCGCTATTGTGACGGGGAAGTTAATAAGTAGATTGAAATCAAACAGACAAAATTAAAAAACAGAAAATTGACGCTGGTGGGTGTTATAAATGTTTGGCTAGGATTATGTCGGTCCTCTCTGTTAAATCAAGAACTGAATGTAATCGTCTCTAGCACGGAATCAATAAGACGCACAGTTTGAACTGTCCCTAGCAATGTAAAGCAAGTTGATGAAAATTACGTTTCTGTTCAAGCAATTGAAGGAGTGAACTTAATTAATGGGGCACTTTTCTATAAGCGCAAATAGAGGATAAATATCACCATGACATGTCATCTTGTTGATCGAAATGTTCAATACAGATCTCCGTAAAGTTAGACGTTTCAACGTCGAGCGCGCGTCGAACCTTTACGTTAGTGGGAGGGGAAGACCAAACAGCATAGAAGAAAAATTAGACTAATAATAATTTGTAAAGGTATCAAAAGCGAAGAGAGCGCTGTTAACCCTTTGACCCCCTACGAGTGACCAGCATCTGACTTCTCCTTCCAATATCTCCTTCGAATCACACATTGAGGTTGCGAGAATGAAGGAAATGATCACCAACGAAAGAAGCTCTTGATTGTGACACAAATTCTCCTTGTTAACACCTCAGGAAATTTATAGAGAACAGTATGGAGAATATGCATACTAATGTTGGGGTCTAAAGGGTTAAAATCCTTGTATTTCCCCTACATCTGTAGTGAGATAGACAACTAGCAATCTGGTTTGTTTCGAGTCGACATGGAGCGAGAGCTCTGAGCACGAGGAGACTAGGCTAGACTGGTGTGATTTTATCATCCAACTTCCAGGCTACCATTTCAAACGTCAATTTTGCGATTTCTTTTCTCACACGCTCCCAGACCGTAAGACAAAAAAAAACTGACCACAAGTAGCCTATCCACCGCCTATAGTAGCCTGTATCCACTATTATTTTTCGAGCATGACGTGAAGTCAAATAGTTACAAGAGTTAAGGAGTACACCACCGAGATTTGCCTCAGGAATTGTGCCTTCCCCCCCCCCCCCCGCCACCTTTGGGGCAAAAGAAAAGGAGGAGATAGATGCGCTAGCACCGATTTATGCGACGATACAAATGTAAAAAAATAAAAAAATAAAAAACTTGTCATCCAAAATGAACCAAACGGCATAGGAATGTTTATTAAAAATTTCAAAATTAGCCGGGTGGGAAAGGTTCCCTGGACCTCCCTCCGGCCTCCGGTTCACCATAATACTCCACAATCATTACTACCGTCCACCCCCCCCCCAGCCCTGAAATGATCCCATTGATCCCTAAAATGCGCAACCACAGTCGTGTCCACACGAAGTGCCTTAACAGAACGATTAAAGATATTTCAAAAACATTTATTTCGAGCTTGATGCAAAGCTATAATTTATTTTCGTACCTGTAATTTGTCATTGCTAACGCGGATTTTATCAAAAGACCGAGCGGGGACTAGGGAAAAAGCAATGCCGCGTGGTTTTGGAAGAAGATTGACGCAACTCTGAGATTGGTTGAAATCTTTGTCACGTGCTATCTTTGAGCATGAGCAGTAAGACACTATAATCAGGCATACTTGATGCGAATAAGAGGCCTCCATAAGGTCTGGTGACCAGTCCGTCCAGCCATAAAGTTTCACCAGGCGTGAAATTCGACCCGCGTAAAGATCTCCGGAACGCAGGTAAGGGAAATTCCGCAACAATTTCTTCGCTTTTGGTGTAAACTATATAAAGAAAGTTCATATCCACAAGAAGGCTATAAAAATGCCCATGGGCTACGAGCCAATTAGCAGGCGATGCCGTGAAGATTCTGCAGGTTGAAATCAAAGAAAATGGAGCATTTCTTTACTTGGCCGTAAGAAAAATAACGTCTGGAGAAACGGAGTTTTGACTACTAAGGGTCCTCAGATTCATGACTATCTTGACTTAACTCAGTGAGAAACTAATCCTCTAACAACTGTGGGGTTATTTTGCAACTGAAATTTCTGTTAGTCCAACAATACGTTTCACAAATGAATAAAGGGGTAAGTTTCTAAAGAAACTGTGGTGCTGCTTCGGTGGGAGAGTATAGCAGGTAATTTAGTGTTAACAACTGGTTTGAAAACGTATATTAGCCACCGTAAAGAATAAAAAAGCTGACGTTTCGAGCGTTAGCCCTTTGTCAGAGGACCAGGCACTTCGCTCTGACGAAGGGCTAACGCTCGAAACGTCAGCTTTTTTATTCTTTACGGTGGCTAATTTACGTTTTCAACCCAGTTGTTAATACGTTTCACAATTTTACTCAATGCAACAGTGACAACAGTACCAATGTATCTAGTGTTCCCACACATAGTCACATGATAGTCTCATACCATTATATGGAGGGAAACACCAAAGGAAACGAAACAAAATCACAGATATTTCAAATACAAGGCGAAGATTTCTTTGCAGAGTTTTTAACCGTAGTACCGCTCAAGTTGCGCGTGTGATTCCCACGTGCAACACGCACAATGCGTGGAAAAGCAGTAAAGATAACAGCCCCTAATTTAAGACAAGTTACATTATTTGTCTGCAGTATCGAGTGAATACGTAGCGAAATTGAAATTCCCTGACTTACCTTGTCATTTGCAAAGTTTTAAAATCCCACAGCAGAATCGCTGTCTCTGAAGCACACACAATTTTATGTCCATCAAACTGAAGTCGAGGCTGTAGGTTGACAGTGGACTCGGTGTCAGGACTTAATGTTGCCAGGCACTTGTAGCATTCACGATCGGGAGACCAGATCTTAACAAAACGAAAGCAAAGAATGCTGCATCGCTAATTAGAACATAGCGCACTTGTTCTATTTAGGTCCTATTGGACCTTCATGGTCCATATCTCAATCCAAGCACAACTGTAAGTACATGTAGATATCAAGATGACTTGTTCAGTAGCATTTTTTCAACAAAGTTTCCTTTCCAGCTTAACACTATTGCGATGGTCACGATGGCCATGAAATTAAAACATACCTTGATGTTTCGTTTGTCCATACTGAGCACTACGTACTGACCCTTTCTGTGAGTATGCGTGTCTACTTCACTTCTTTTGAGGATCACCTTTGTGTAAAAAACATAAAACAGCAATCACATACAGGTGCTGAGATTCATTTGGATCTGAGGTCGCCAGTCGAAAGAAGGAAAGAAATACACTTGTAAATGATATTGCTATTTGTAAGTTTGCCATTTTAATTTTTCATGTTCCCCTTATTTAAGTTTCCAAGTTCAAGTCAGAGATTGCAGATCAATAGAAGAAAAAAAAGAAATCTTTAAGTCATATTGCCGCGTGAAGCTTGAGTTTGCAAAGCTAATTGGCCAGTGCATTGTTACTGACAGATCTCACCTTTTCTTTGCATATGGCGAATTGCTGTCTCTACTCAACTTTGGATAAGATGCAAGTCTATCACAGACAACCCTTCTTTCCCTCACAGATCTTTCAAGTTTCCCTTAAACTTTTCTAGCACTTATCTAAACTACTGGTTGGAGAGAAGCACAATGGAAGAAAATTGTCTCACTCACAATTACACTACAGAATGAACTGGCCTTATGTTTTAAAAGGGGAGTACATGTGATTAAATCCCATGATAGACTATTTAGTTCATCCTCTTCCATGTTTGAAAAAAAAAAATTTTATATAGAGACTGAAATTTTGTAGATACCTTTACCACCCAGTCTGAGTGACCATATCTGGTCTGCATGCATTGTCCAGATGACATCTTCCAAATCCGAATGGTAGAGTCAGCTGAACCACTAACAACAGTGTCCAGTTCATCACTGTAATCAACTGAGAACACTGTAGTAAACAGAGATTAATATTTGTCAAGAACAATTTACTTAAATCCCTGCAGGAAACAGGGAGGGTGGGGTGAGGGAGAGACTGCAAGTAGAGGTTGCATGTATGCCCTGGTTGAAGTCAACACATTAAGCCATGAAACAGCTTCCTGTTGAGAAGCAATTGCTCTGAGCCTGACTACAAAAAAATTATCAGCCATGATCTCAATTGCATTTAATTAGGATAAATACCCACTGGATGTGATATGTTTTTTTTTCATAATTAATGGTTATAAACATACTATTTGAAATCAGATTCCTTTGTGGGTCAACAAGCCCACTAAAATACAAAAATTGGCTTTGTTGACCCTAACTCCCAGAAGTAATTAACATATTGATATAACTTCTCCATATGATAACCATAAGCGATCCAGCAGACTAGAGATGAGATTACTCAAAGTTATCAGGTAGAAGTTGTTATCTTGATCTAACACCAAATTCTTGCAACTTATTCACAAGAAAATGTGTAGCAGCTAGAGGGGAGAATTGACAATCAGATACTGGGAGTCAAAGGGTTAATTGCTTTGTGAACTAGTATTGCCAAAGGTTGGCTAGGTTCAATCCCTGTTGAGTTCCTGTGAGGATCAAGATCTCAACAGCAATCCCCCTTACAGTTTGCTATACAATTATTATGATGTTAGTTTAGAGAATTTGGTATTTGATCAACTGATAATCCCACCATTATATTCTCACTAAATTCTTTTATTTCTCATCACTAGTCTGCTTGACATAGTATTGATATTGTGAGGAGAGATTCTGTCTTGGTCACTCATGGGAGTTAAAGAGTTAAACCTCTAAGAGTGACTATCATCTCATTTCTCCTTACAATATAACCCTTGAATCAGACAATAAGCTCCCAGGAAATGATCACCAATTAAAGACACTCTTAAAAGTTAAACAAATTCTCCCTGTCAACACCTTGGGAAATGTACAAAGAACTGTATGGAGAATATGCATACTGATATTAAGGTGTAAAGGGTTTAAATGTACTGACTGAATACTGAAGGAACCCAATCCTCCACAATAAATTAAATTATTACAATCACCAATCATATGACACATACCAGACAGCATACACTTTTAGTACAAAACATTAAGGAAAAATCCCTGTATAAGGGTCATTAATGCAATGGCATGTACAGGGTTGGAAAAGTCATATAGCAAGATGCAAGGTTAAAGAAGAAAGGATTGTCAGGTGAGAAGATACCTAATGACTGACAGACGTAGGGCTGGAGAGGAAATATTTGGCCATCATCTGTGATTCATGTCAGGAGCCAAATGTTTTCCCATCTGACCCTCCCACTCTGTCAATAAGTGGAATCTGATAGTATTTTCTTCCTGTTAATGTTTTTTATTTTACCTGCTGCTGTGTGTCCCCTAAAACATTGTAATCTCTCTCCTGTTTCCCAGTCCCACATGCCAACAGTATTGTCAAATGAGGCTGTGATGACCTTATCATCATCAAAGTGAACATCTGCACAAGTATGAGCCTTCAAAACATATTTACACTGTCCTGTCTTCAAGTCCCACAACCTGATTGATCTATCATCTGATCCTGGAGAGCAGAAAAGGTAAGGTAAAGTCTGTACCTGAGCAAAGGCTTAAGGCACATAGCCAATCCAGTTGGAGCTTATCCAGGAAGGATGGGGAAGACAGAAAGATCAAAGGTGACTCTGCTTAGAGGGTAGTGTGTATGGGAGACAGGATATGGCTGGCAGGGAGAGGGTGGTGGGTATAGAAGGGCATGGAGAGGGGTAGTTACAGGATATGGGATATGACACAGGATAGGAAGACTGGAAACTTTTTTAGGGCAGGAAGGAAGATGCAAGTCCAAAAATGAGAGCTGTTTTTTTCTATAGGAAATTTAAAGGGTGAGAAACAGAAGGGCAGGGTATAGGAAATGGAAAAATTTCTCAGCCTGTCACTTTTGCTTACTCGTTATATCCCACTTTTCCAATGTATGAATCTTAAGGGGGCAAAGAGGGCTTTTTTTCTAAAGAAAATGTGGTGTTGTGTCTTGGTGAGGGAGGGGGAGGGGGGAAGGTGTAACAAGATAATTTGGTTTTATCTGCTGAGTTGATAATGTAAATTGGCCACCATAAAGAGTTTCTAAACTTGACATTTCTAGCGTTAGCCCTTTTTCAGAACGAATGGCGAAGGCATAACGCTTGAGACGTCAGCTCAAGAAACTCTTTACGGTGGCTAATTTACATTATCAACTCCGTATGAACCATTCCCAGCTTCGCTCAGCGAGCAAAACTCTCTCACCAGTAGCAAGATAATTTCCACGATAATAAAGTGCAAACACTCTAGCTGTGTGACCATAAAGCTGTTTCTTTTCCACCGCACCCTCGTCTTTTAACTTTTTCATATCCTGTACATGTGAAATATATATCTGTTTCCATGTAGTGGTAGAGGTCGAGTTTCTTTCAGAATCCACGTTATCTTCTTTGACTTCCATACCAAGCTGCCTACAAGCGTTTTGCCAAACATCATCGCAGCTTAAAATTACTTTGTTCCATTTCTTACTCACAAGACAGCATTTGCACAGGGACACAGGATCCAGCCATTTCAAGACATGAAAACTCAACTCCAGAGGTAAACATTTCAAGTAATCTCGTTTCACGAGTGTTTCGAGTTTCGTGGACAAAAACCGTAGCTGTTCGGGTCCGCATGTATCTATGATACCTTCAATCGCGGAATTCTTTTGGTCATTTGACAAAGTGTTAAAAGTATCGCAAAAAGTTTTCAACCAAAGAGAAAACCCACTGTCCTCCAAACATTCTGTCATAACTGTTTTGATTCGAAGCTATGCCCAGTTTTCCTCGAACAGTGGATAGAATAACAAGAAAGGGACAATTCACGGGGTTTTACATAAACTGAAAATAAAACCTTTGGCCCGCTTAATGTTAATCTGGTTGAGAGATTTAAATTCTTTGACAGATTTTAGTAAAGGGGTGCCCTGCATCGTAAATTAAGAAATAACGAATATTACGAAGGAACAAATTTCTTATTTATTCATTTTTCTCATAAGTAATGAAATCAGAAATTGTGAACCCTAGTATAAGCATATGAGCAGTTTAGTATCAGTGATAAGCCAGCCATCATGTTTATGAGGCTTCAACTGGTAATTTTAAATTGAAAATTTACAGAACTTGTGTTATTAAATGTTACAATGTCTTAGTGACTTTCAATGAGAATCCAGAGATATCCTGCAGAATGAGGGATAATCCACAGGATAAAGGTCATCATTTAGTCCTTTTACAATCCTTGGGATTCCTGTGGACATTAGTCTGAATCAAATTACCAGCTATGTTTCAAATTACATATCCGCAATTTTCATTCATTATCACCTTGTAGATGTTTATTGCTTAGTCAAAGAATTGTTTATGAATGAGTGCCCACCATTTTGACCTCTACATATTTTCCTGAGGTATCCCTTGCAATTGACAGAGAGAATTTGTTTAACAGTCAAGAGCTTCTTTAGCTGGTGATCATATCCTTTATTCTCATGACCTTAAGGGTTTAATCCAAGGGTGATATTGTTTGGAGAAATTGGATGTCAGTCCCTCCTAGGAGTAAAAAGGTTAAAAAAATTAATTTACATTAAAACTTTTTTGGCCCTCAGAGTTAAAAATCCTTACTTTAAGCTTTCCCTTGTATATTACTTCAAGGTCTTAGTTAAGTAACCACATGGTGTCAGGTTCTCAAGCTGGTGTGTCATGTGTCTCCAATAAGTGTGTGAGTAGATCAGTGCTTTGGGTATGAACCAATGCAAACTTGAGTACAAATTGACTGCATGTGGCAACGAAACAACCATGGGTACAAAACAACCTGATACCTGGTGAGCAGCCTTAAAATTTATTGCATGAATTCACAAGACAATTCCCAGCTGAATCTTCAGAATCTTCATATTCATTCAATCCATAAACACTCTAACAGACAACAAACAAAAGACTTTGGATCACAGTGATCCCCGTGAACATTTTTGAGTCACTGACATCTATAACAGCATTCCTCAAATTCTTTCAGTGCAGAGAAGGCTCTAAGTTCTAGATGGGCATGTCACACAGAAGATCTGCAAAGTAAATGGCTTTTGACAATGTTTCAATATAAAAAATGTGGTCTCAACCTTGAAAGGCAAAAAAAAGAAAATGACCAATTAAACAAGAAAATAATAGAAAGGGACCTTCCTTAACACCACTAGCCCTTAAAAAAAATTTTAAAACTATCTTACAAAACATAAATTGACCAAAGAATTACATCAAAACATTGAAGTTTTGGCCATATGATATAAGAGCTATTATGAAGCTTACATAAGTCACCTCACAGGCTTGGTTACTAAAGTTTCTAAAAAGATTTCTCTGACAGTTTTTTTTTTGTCACTAATCATGGATGTGTTGAAGCTTAATTTCTATTGTAAACAAAATCCACCCATTAATAGCAGAGAGTTCTCAAGCAATTAAATTTTTAACTGGACTGGTGCAATGATCAAATCAAAGCTTCAACATTCCGCTGGAAGTCTGGAAAGACTTGACAGTTCTGGTTTAAATTCCCCACCCCCCAGGTACAGACAACAATCAAATGCCCATGGGTTTCAGGGAGGGAGGAGGAGAGATGTTGAAGGTTTGAATTAATTGCCTCATAAAACTGTACTGAATCGTTCAAGTATAATTTAGCTGCTGCATGATGCAGCAGCTGCTCTTTTCCATAAGAAAGATTACCCACACTTTCAAACATATCTCACAGGATATTGCATGTTGAAGAATAGATATCTTCAGTTCTGAGATTTTCTCGACGAATAATCATTGCATGATCATGATACTTGTTGGCTTGATCCAGGTCACTAAGGTCCCTGCAACAAGGGAATGCTGTGATCCAAGCTTTCTCAGACTAATATACACAATCCTGATAAACCATCATGATATTCTATTGTTAGAAGGTCACCCTTAACACTAATAAATAAGGCCATTGCCTTAGTGTGTAAATCACGAAACGTTTTATAGATATCATTTCCTGCAACCTCAGAAATGTCTTCCTTTAAATATTCAAATCTTCCAATTTTTCTCATCAATGTGCTAGCATGAAGTTCAATATGTCTGCCTTTCTCACGTGAATAAAATTTTTTCAAGCCAATTAGCTCATTTTTATCTTTCAGAAACTTGAACATGGCCTCAACCGTCGCATTTAAGGCTAATAATTCACCCTCTTCAGACTTTGCTTTTATCAACCTGCAGATAGCATCATGTGTAACCTGGTGTACTCTAATGTAGACACCACTCTCCTCTTCGTCAAATAGCAACAGAGGGCATCTTCGAATCTGCATCCTAATGTTTTCTTCATCTTGCAAATCTATTTCTACATCACAAATGTAATTTACTGCTATCTCAAGATTTAATGGCTGTGCTGCACACAAGGACAACAAAGTAACAGTGTGCTTGAGTACAACATTGGTGGATTCCATCGCCTCTTGAACAGCTATCTCTAATACCTCAGTCATTGATTTTGGGTAAGTTTGATTTGTTTCAATGAAAATGTTTGCAGTTGCCCCTCTTTGGCCTTCCTCAAATCTTTTTAGGTAATCACTCCATCCAAAATTCGCTCTATTCTGCTGAGCCTCTCTGACATAGGTTGCGGCAGTTGCTAAGGCAAGCGGCTGGTAGTCTAATACTTGTGCCACCTTCTTTGTCTCACAATCTGAGATACCAGAAAGCTTTTCTAGTAAGGACATGGCATCATGGGGCTCCATACCTTTGCTAAAAGATAAATGACTAGTGAAAGAGTTCATTGGCGGAACAGACATGGTGTCTTGTGTTGTGATCAACAACTGACCCCTCGCCCACTGTTCATCTCCAGACTCTGGCAAATATGCATGAATCTTAGAAATGCTTCTGACATTGTCAACAACTAGAAGCCAAGAGGTGTAAAGCTGGATTTTTGTGCCGATTAAGGACTTCATATGAGCAATCTTCTCGTCTGAGTTTAAATCTGGAGAGTTAAGTGTGTTAGTAGTGGCATATTCTGGGCACTTAAGCTTTCGCGCCAAGGAGATACACAATTCTAGAAGAGTGCTTGGGCTTTCAGCATTTACCGTCATCACAAAAACTGTAGAATTTGGAATTGAATTGACTACATCAAAGTATCTCTTCCCCACGAGACCAGCTAACTGAGATTTGCCACTTCCTGGGTTGCCAGAGATATACAAGTAACTCAATCTGTTCTCATTGGCCTCTTTGAGCTCTTCCAACTGTTTTGTAATTTCAGCCACCTCAAATTCACGATCTGCAACTTCGTGTGAAGGTTTAGACAGAAGGACACAGAAGGACGAAATTTCTTTGTTTAACTGAGCTTCAAGTACCTCAACCTTTTTAAACACATTACTCAGTTCCTCAGTGGGGAAACTTGTCTGATGGTAAACCACTTGAATTTGGTGTGTGGAGAGGCCAAGAGCTTGGAAGGCTACTTCAACTTTATTGATAGAATTTTGAAACTCTGCATCTGTGAGGTGGCCGTGTGGCATGTGTGCAAAATCTTCATTTACGGAACTTTCTGAGATCATCCACTTTTGATTTTATAGTTGGATTGAGACCATTCCCAATACAATTGGAGAAAAGAATGGCGTAAAAAAGCATGGTACAATCCCATTCAGCTCTGTTTCCATTGACCATGGTGGCCAGAAGATGGGCTTTTTCCCTTTGCTTGCGCGGAGATTCACTGTTCTTGAAGTCCTGACCATTTTTTGGCTCATCTTTCCATTCACCTAATGTTGCCTTGTGACGACTATTCCATTCCTGTTTGAAGATTATTCGCAGACCCTCGGTAATTATATCAGTGGTGAGATAGCAAATCCGGTAATGATTCAGTTCTTCGTTGGTGTACTCTTTTGTAGTGGCCATATTTAGCTTTAATGAGCTGTTACCTACAGGAATGTAAGAATTAATAGTCTTGATTGTGTCCTACCTATTGCTGTAAGGAAGTGAAAGATCCTAATCTCAAGCTCCAAATCACTTCAGAGTGATATCAGAGTGTCATCAAATCAAATTAACATACACAATAACTTTAGGTTGCCAAAATTCATTGGAGAATTTATTCATTGACCAATTGTTTCTTTGGGTTAGTTATTAAGACTAATTCAGTAGGAATTAAAAGTCTCGATTGCATCATGCAAAATTCCCATTGCTGCAAATAGATGATAGCTCCTAATCTCAGGTTCCTGACCACTTTTGTCATCAATTCAAACAGAGGCGTATAACCTAAAAACAAGCTGGGGTTTATCAGCCGGCTGATCAGAAAAAAGGATGCAGTTTTTGCCCAAATATAGAATGAGAGGTTCGAGTAGTTTTTTCCTTCGGTCGGTGCTTCTGATCCTGATAACTCCACAAGGATTTTGGAGTAAACGTTAATTAACAAGAGGGATATTTGTTAATTTCGCAAAGTGGTAATTTAAGAAGAGAAAAAAAAATGAATAAAAATCCTTCCTATCAATTTCAGACGATTGCTCCAAAATCTTTGTGGAAGTTATCTTTACCTTAGTACAAAATATATCGGCATTATTCCTTTAGTTTCGTTATATCTCGCCTGGTTTGGTTTCGTTTCGTTTCGTTTCGCAAAATAGAATAAGACCTTCATTACCTTCAAATTCAGAAAGCGAGCATGCCACTACGATTTTAATTAGACCATGAACCTGCATACACGAAAATAATCCCTAAGATTGAAAAAATATCAAAATTTATTGGTTTTATACAAACCTGGCTGCGGAATCAATTAGTGTTCTGATCCAAATTTCCGCAA